ATTCTAGCAAAATGTACAAGAAAATTCACTCGATGGAAAAAAAAAGAAACATGAGTTATCTCAAACGTAACATCAAACGCCATTTTTATCTTGTTGTGCCCTACTTAGTTTTAACAGTTCATTTATTACATCGTTGTTCAGCCTCTGAAGGTTATTTTCTCGCTCGTCATCTTCACTCACCCCATTCTGTCTTTGATATGCTGGTTTTTGTAACTCATATCCTTGAAACTGGAAGGGCATATTTGCATCTTCACTGTAGGTGTATGGGAGAGATAAATTTAACTGTTGTACTTCTTTCTGATGTTGGAAGCCAACTGGGTTATCATAAATGCAATTCCTCTGTTGGTATGACATTTCCTGCTCTTCTTGAAACTGGAACGGCATATTTGCATTGGCATGGTAGGCATCTTGTGGTTGCAACTGTCGTGCATTTCGTCTATTAAACTTTGGTTTCATTCTTCCTGCTTCCTCTCGCAGCATGTATTCACTGCATTCAATGCACTCGTTAATCACAGAAATTTGTTTTTTCACATCTCTCCATTCATGTACAGTCAAAGCTATACCTTGTTTGCTGGGGTATAATTTCTTATCATACTTGCTTTCGAAATATTTCCTAACATGTATTTGAACTTTACCTCTCCAGGTAGTCAAGTCAAGTTTAAACATATTGCACACTTTAAGTTGCATATGATAAAAAAACATATTAGGGAGGTTTATATAAATCTATCAAAGAATAACTGCCTATAAATAAATATTAGTTCATAGCATTGCATTTCATATGGTGGTGTAATATTGAAATTTGTCAAGACTAAAATAGACATGATTATGAATGAAATATAACTCCCTTGAACGAAAACTGTGTAACTATGATAACATAAACTAAAAATAGCAACTTTTCATTGAATAAAGTATAAAAGTCGACAAATTTGCCTCAATCAATTGGTTAATGTGAAATTAAGGTTTACCAGATATGTCTAACTACCTTGGTATAGATGAGCTTACCTTACAACAATGGGAAGAAATCTCTCTAGCTCACCCTGTAACATGTGTAGAAATAAGAGAGCTATTTGAAGAGGTCATCGAGGGGGCTGATCAGAAATTGCAGGTAAACAAATGAGGTTATTTATTGCTGTATTATTTACTCGAATAGTAGTAAATAATTTTACCCGCAATCCTCAATGCGACCTTTTCCTCTTCGTTTAGATATCATCATCTAAAACACCTCCTCCATCAAAAAAGTATAAAGAGAGAGAATGCACGGTGTGTGGAAAAGTATTTGGGCGGGAAGACGCTTTGAAACGTCACATGAAAGTACGTGCCCAAAAAAAAGAATGTCAGTGCAGTGCTTGCACTAAAACCTTCTATCGCCGGGATTTAAAAATGAAACATGAAGCTTTATGCTTCAGGAAGAGAACAGAAAACGAACAAATGGAAAACGTACCATTGAGAAACCAGGCAGGTGGCGCCTTCACAACATCAGAGGACAGCAGAGTATTAGACGGTGAATGTCAAAGTGCACTGGGTGGTAATGTGAAAACAATACAAATGAAACCAAGACAAAATGAAAAATATGATTTGTCCCTGTTTCTACAAGGAAAAAGAGCAAATGTGCTGAAACATCTAGAGAAAGAGCTAAAGGAAAAAAAGGGCGTAAAATGGTTCATCTCTGTGCAAGTTAAAATGGTTAAATATCGCGAGGACTCAAATGAGGAATTTTCAGAACCACACTTCAGAAGTAATTGTCAGCGGTTATTAAACTTACATGAACTACCAGAGCAGTACCTGGCCTGTGTAGAGAAGGTGAAAGAATCTTTCCAAAGCTATCAGCGTGAAGGAAGTGGATGGCAGCTGAAGGAGGTAAAATTGGTTCTTTGTTTGTAGTAAACCTTTCTCACAAAGTTCTAAAATATGTAAATCGCACACGGATGTTATTTTGAATATCAAGTATCTCGCTCGACCTGACTGGTTCTCTAGGGATTTTCGTGTTTAATTTACTAAGTGTAATAAAATTGAACTTTTGAATTCTTTTGTAGGTGTTAAAATTGGACCTTGGCTATGTTGTATACGTTCCACTGCAAGGGTCTAGCTATCTGAGGCTTCCTAGAGAACTGGTAGATAAAAAGGCAGTACTGAACATAAAAAATGACGATGAAGGATGCCTTGTGTGGAGTGTTTTGGCGGCCTTGCACCCTGTCCATTGGAAGGATCACCCAGAACACCGATATCACTATAAGAAGTATGTTAATGAATTAAATTTAGATGGTTTAGAATTTCCCATGAAAGGTAGTCAGATAGCGAAATTTAAACGGCAAAACACGGCTATAAGTGTTAACGTCTTTGGTTATGGACAAAAAGTACTCTTTCCTGTTTATATTACGAAAGAGAAAAAAGAAAATCACGTCAATTTATTACTCATAGCAAATAATGAAACAAGGCATTATTGCTTAATTAGAAATCTTAATCGGTTACTTTCTTCAGTAACGAAAAAGAAAGCTCAAAAATATTTCTGCGAATATTGTTTACACGGGTTTATCAGAGAAGACTTATTGTTAGACCATGAACCTCACTGTAGCAAACACGGGCCGCAAAAAATCAAATTACCGAACGAAGACAATGATGTATTATATTTCATGGATGTTCAAAAACAACTGAAAGTACCATTTGTCATTTATGCAGATTTTGAATCATATTTAGTGAAGTGTGACCAGCAACCTTTAAACCCCAGTATTTCGTTTACGCAAAAAACGCAAGAACATAAACCGAGTGGTTTTTGTTATACGGTAGTTTCTGAAGTAGAGAATTAGGATAGACCACCTATTGTGTATCGTGGAGAAGATGCAGTAGACACATTTTTAGACCATTTATTACGAGAAGAAAAACGTATCAAGGGAATACTAAAACACGTTGTACCTATGGAAATAAGTAAGGCAGATGAACAAGCTTTTCAAGAGAGCACCAACTGTCATATATGTGGGGAGGCACTTTTCACAGATCATGTTAGGGATCATTGTCACCTTACGGGAAAGTATCGCGGGGCGGCTCACAGTGACTGTAATTTGAACTACAAGTTTTCGAATCGTATCCCTGTTGTGCTGCATAACTTGAGAGGCTATGACTCTCATCTCATTATGCAGGGATTGGGAAAGTTAAAAGGCGTGCCTATCACATGTATACCCAACAACACGGAAAAGTACATTTCTTTCACTGTGGGAGATTTGGTGTTTATTGACTCCCTGCAATTTATCAACGCCTCTCTTGAAAAGCTTGTCTCCAATCTAGCGAAGGAAGGAGATGTTAAGTTTCGCGTTCTAAAGAAATATACAGCAACTGAAAAGATGCCCTTATTATTGAGGAAGGGTGTATAACCGTATGAGTACGTAAGTAGTTTTCAAAAATTTTAAGAAACAAACCTCCCACCTAAAGAGGCATTTTTCAGTACTTTACGAAATGAAGGTATCAGCTTAGAGGATTACACACATGCACAAACTGTATTTACAGAGTTTGAATGTCAATCACTTGGAGACTATCACGATCTTTACCTCAGATCAGATGTCTTATTGTTAGCCGACGTCTTTGAAAATTTTCGTGATATATGCTTAAACTATTACAAGCTTAACCCAGCACACTTCTACACTTCCCCTGGTCTGAGTTGGCAGGCATGTTTACGAATGACGAAAATAGAATTGGAATTACTCATGGACCCCGACATGTACTTGTTTATCGAGGAAGGTTTAAGGGGTGGAATTTCAATGATCTCCAATAGGTATAGCAAAGCAAACAACCCTTATATAGCGGGTTATGATAAAGATCAGAAAACAAATTATATCATGTACTTAGATGCTAACAATTTATACGGACACGCCATGTCTCAACTGTTACCCGAAGGCGGATTTTTCTGGTTGAACGAGGGGGAAATTATAGATTTAGATTTGACAAACATCGCTGATGACAGTGAAGAAGGATACTTTCTTGAAGTGGACTTGGAGTACCCACATCACCTTCATGATTTACACTCAGATTATCCTTTAGCACCAGAAAAGATAAAAGTCACCACTGATATGCTATCTCCTTATTGTCAACAATTGGCCAGCGATTTGCACTTGAAACCTGGATCAGTCTCCAAACTTGTTCCAAATCTCAACGACAAGACAACGTACATTGTACACTATCATAATTTAAAACTTTACCTCAGTCTTGGTATGAGGTTGACTAAGATCCATCGGGTTCTCAGCTTTCAACAGTCCTCGTGGTTAAGAAAATACAATTGAATTTAATACAGAGAAGAGAAAGCAAGCTGCTAACGACTTTGAAAAAGATTTCTTCAAATTATTAGTGAATTCCGTATTCGGAAAAACGATGGAGAACTTAAGAAAACGCGTAAATGTTAAACTGGTGAATGAGGTGAAACAGCTGAAACAGAAGAAACTAACCCACTCCCCTTCCTTCGATCACCTCAGAATTTTTACAAATGAATTGGTCGCGGTCAATATGAAGAAACCCACATTGTACTTTAACCGACCCATCTATGTTGGTTTTGCCATACTTGATCTATCTAAAGTCCTAATGTACGATTTTCACTACAACTACATCAAGGTGAAATACGGCGAAAAGGCAACTCTGCTTTTCACAGACACGGACAGTTTATGTTACAACATACAAACGGAAGACATTTACAGAGACATACAGGAAGAATTAGACCTGTTTGACACTTCAGAGTACCCACCTGAACATTTCCTGTTTAGCACACGAAACAAAAAAGTGCTTGGGAAGTTTAAGGACGAAGTTCACGGTACCCCAGTACAAGAATTTGTTGGACTACGACCAAAAATGTACTCGCTTCTCTACAACGAAAACGGCAAAACAGTTGAGAAATACGGTGGCCCACAAGTGCACACCGAATTCCAGAAAGTCACACCGAATTCAAATAACTCACACCGAATTCAAATAACTCACACCGAATTCAAATAACTCACACCGAATGCAAATAACTCACACCGAAT